AAAAGAAAACTCCCAAATTTTATTGCTAAACGGGACCTAAAAGTTTTAGTAAAACTTGACACACGGAGTGTTCTAAAAGACCATGTTCGGAGAATAGCCTTATACAATTATTAAGGACCTCCCCCCTACCCCCCTCCCCCCCCCCCCCCCAAAGACCAACCTATGTTAAAACTTTATACCGTGAAATGTGGCAGTACATAACTTTAACAATAACTTTAAAAACAAAACCAAAGTCAAAGATTTGTATGAATCTTGACTTTCTATGCCCTAATTATGTTGTTTGTCTACTAAAATTTAAGCAATTGCATTGCAAGCCACTGAATTTGCAATACCCTGTATTCTGCATTACATTACAAAAAGCTCGATGTAGGACTTCGCACTATTTACTGGTATTCGATTCGACAATTGGTTGAAATAGAGAAAATCATATTATACAAAGCGAATTAGAAAATTGATTAGATAATTTGACCATTTACTAACCAAAAGATATGCATTTGAACTGGTCCAAGGTGTTCTTGACAAAAATTAATTAAGAACGTTTCAAACATTTTTTTAAGGCTACGTGTCAAACTTTTTGACCCGTGGTAATCACGTTAAAAGAGTATTCATAATCTTGTTACTATTTAATTAGTCAGAAGATCATTCCCTAATACTTTAAGAAAATATATAAACCAAATAGGGGACTCATTGAAATACGTTGCTTTAATCCTCGAATCACGGAAATAATCAGAAAAGAATGATGTTTGGCTATAATTTCATATTTTAGTACATGATTTACCTTACATTTTTTTTTGGTTAAATGAAACATTTTTATTCAACCAAGTATAATTATTTACAAGCACACCTGCTCATTGGACTCTAGAGACAGGAAAAATAACTATGAAAACTCTTGCTAAACTAGCTACTTCCAGTCCCAAGCTCTATAATTGCTCACCTTCTAGGAAGGGTATCGGTTGTAGAGTCAAGAATTTGCTGGCAGCTCCTAGCTTGTGTAACCTCTCAATCTATCTAATTCATTCTGCCATTTAGAGTATCTTTGTCCTACAATATGCAATTGTAGAGCTATTTCATTCAGTCTGTCTGTAGTTATTTTCTTCAATTGTTGAAATCTTCTACTGTTTCTTTCCTTCCAAACATGGTAGACTATGGCTGTAAATATGAAGGCAATGATGGCAGCTCTTGGGTGTTTGCTTCTTGTTATGTTTGCCAGCCATGCTAGTTCTTCATTCCATGATCTCACTTGCCTCTGCATTCCTGTCCATTGAAGTAGTTTCTGCCATATAGTCTTGGAGTAGCTGCATTCAACGAACAAGTGAGTGAGTGTTTCCTCTGCATCTGTTGAGCATAGCACACATTCACTTTGCACTTGTATTCTCCACTTTTGTATTTTGTCTGCTGTTGCCAGTCTTTGTTGAAGAGCCATCCACAGAATGAATTGATGTTTTGGTATTATGATTTTACTGAGAATCAAGCTTTTTCAATAGACTTTAGGATATTGAGGGAGACTGTCCATATAGGCTTTCTTAATGCTGAATTTGGCATCTGGTGCATAAGTCTTTATTCTATCCATGTTAGGTGCTAGCCATTGTCTAGCCTCAAATATCTTTCTAACCACCTAGCTTACTTGTCTTGGTGTTTTCATTTTCTTTAAGTCTTTGCCCTTTATGTATTGATGTTGTATCCATTGGACCCAAAGTGTATCTTTTTTCTGAGAGATTGCCCACAACAGCTTTAATATTGCAGCTCTATTCCAGAGGGTGAAATTGAGAATATTCAGTCCACCAGTAGATCTTTGTTGGCACATTGTTTCCCAGGCAATGGGTGCTCTGTTCACATTCTCCTTTGTACTATGCCAGAGGAAGTTCCTGCAGACTGCTGTGACAAGTTTAACTACATTTTTTGGAAATAGAAAAATCTGAGCCCAGTATGTTTGAATCTCAAACAAAACACTTTTTATCAATTGAAGTCTTCCTGTACAGGATAGAAATTTAGAGGATCAACATCTGACCCTTGCCACAATTTTTCCACCAAGGGCATACATTGGTCGATAGTTAGTTTTGTAGCAGATAATGGTACTCCTAGGTATTTGAAAGGAAGGCTGCCAAGGGAGAAATGAAGTTCAGCTAAGATTTGTTGTCTGAATTCAGTTGTGACTCCAGCAATGTCCAAGGAGCTCTTCTCCATATTAGCTTTAAGTCCTGATACAGATGAGAAGTGTTCAAAGTATTTCATCAGGAGTTGCACTGAAATTCTGTCTGCTCTACAACATAGTAGCAGGTCATCAGCAACACAGATATGAGTGATGTGTTGCTTAGAACATTTACGATGATAGTTGAAATCTGGAACACTTTGTAACTGCTTTAATGCTCTATTTAGGTATTCCATCACAAGCACAAAGAGGTATGATGACATAGAATCCCCTTGCATTAGACCTTTCTTTACTGGGAAACTAGTTGTTATACCACCATTTATCAGCAGTGTATAGCTTACTGTAGTTACACACTCCATGATCAGACACACCATTTTATGTAGAATCCCAAACTCAATCAGTAGTTGCTTCAGGAAGATCCATTCTACCGAGTCATAGGCTTTTCTAATGTCAACCTTTATGATGGAACTTGGAGATACTGATTTTCTTGTGTATCCTTTCATCAATTCATGTGCCAATATGACATTGTCTAAAATGTTCCTCCCCTCTATGAAGGCAGACTAAGCTGGCCCAACAAGGTAATCCACTGCTGCTTTTAACCTCTTAGTTAGGATCCTAGCAATGATCTTGTACAGAGTAGAGCAGTATGCAATTGGCCTGAATTCTTTCACATATATTGGATTTACCTTACATTGTAGGTACCTTAATGCCAAACTATACTTTATTTGCGCGTAATGGAGTCTATTTTATGTGTAGGTACATTGGAGATGAAATTAGAGCAAAAGGAGTATTTAAAGTATAAATCATGCTCGAAAACAGTAGGAAAGAAGAAAGAAAGAATTGAGTAGCGGAAAAATGAAGCAACAGGCGAAGCAAGCCCAGAAGCTTGCGTTAGAGCAGGCGAGGCCAGCTATTGAGCTCGCGTGGACGCGCGTGACGCGAGGGGTAGGGCGAGGTTGAGCACGCGGAATGTCTCGTGCCGCACAATCTGAGGCGAGATGCATCTCGCATTTTACCTCGCAAGGCACGGTCCATAGCGAGCCTGATCCGGATTTTGAAGGCTTATTTCGTCTCCTTGTTGGACTTGGACTTGGCCTATGTCGTTTAGGTCTTTTCCTACACATATAAATAAGCATTAAACACCACTTTTGAAGGATGTTTTGCGACCAGAGGCAAGAATAGCTCGTGGAACAACTGTTGGGGGAAAGAATCATCGATTTCTACATTCCTTCATCTTTACTTTGTAATTTTTTTATGCAAAATACTTGGAAAATTGTTACTATGAGTATGAGTAGCTAAACCTCTAATCTAGGGTTTTGATGGAACCTATTGGAGGATGATTTTCCTGTTGCATTTAATATAGATTTGCCGTAGCTTTTTCTCTATTTGTTCAACTACGTTTGTATTGTGGTTTGTTGAAGAGCTCTCAATAGACTGCCTATTTAGTGTGTATTACTCGGAAGAGAGTGCATATTTAGGTAGTTCTTGAACAACATCACTCCTAACATATATGAGGGATCAATACGGAGGGTTTAAAGGTGGGATTAGGAATAACGAAACCTTGGTGCAATCCGAGTGAGCCGTAACTTAGTGCCAGCTAGCGTAGTTTGGAAGATATGTCTAGCAAATTGTGGTAGCTCGGGAGAGAATTACGACACTCAAAGCGCTCAGGATCGGTAGAGAAAACTTAGGCAAATTTATAGAAAACGTAGCGGAAAGGATTCCGACAATAGGGGAAATCAGAACCTTAGATCATTCCAAATTTTGTCTACAATTTGTTCGTAGTTAATTATCAATTACTGCATTTTCATAACTAGATCTTTAGTAGTAAACATCCAATTTGTTATTTAAATATTTCTGAAGATTGATTGCGTGAATTTGTGCGAGTCTAGTAGCTTGCTTAATAGGTTAATTCTTTGTGGGATTCGACTCCGGACTTGTTAACCAGAATATATTTGCAACGACTGCTTAGTCCTTTGAATAAGGCATAGTGGGCGTGATCAAAGAATAATTAAGGGAACAAATAGAGTTGTACCTTAAAATTATATTTCTTCATATTAAAAAAAAAAAATAAGGGACTTATTTTATTGAGGTCTTATTAGGATGTTAATCAACAGATCAATTATAAAAATCCCAGAACAATTTTCTTGTTCTGCTAACGAGAATTAAGATTGACATAATTTAATGTAATTTTCTATTCTTATTTTCTCTGTTGAATTACTGGGATAAAAGAAGAGAAGACCTACAAGGGAAGCAATGGTTTAGTTTAATAATAATTAGAACTTAATTAAGAAAGTCAGCTTTGGATTAATTCTAGGAAAGAAGCATTTAACAGATTCTTTTTAACAAAAACACTAGTAGTACTTAAGCCCACAGGTTTTATAAATTCCACCTGATTGGAATCAGGAGGAACAGCGACCTGAAAACAACGTAGGTTTAACGCTTTCAACATCAAGGAACAAACAATGTTTAGTCCTTAGGTTTCAACATTATTATGGCCAAAATAATTGACTTCTGAAAGAGATGTTTTCCACACAAGTTTCAAGTGCATGAACCTTCACGTCTTAATCATCTCAGCTCATATTTCTATCATTACAGTACTTTATCTTATATCCAGTACTCCTCGTGATTAATGCAGTACAAAATACTTTGTATTATACACATTGCTCGACTGTAGAAAAATTCTCCGTTTATACAAATGTATACTATACTCCCCTTCTCTTCAATTTACTTCGGTAATGTTTAGTAAGGAGTATATTTAATCTTAAATTAAGTCATCATTGAAAAGTTAAGCATATATATACATTGTATTACTACCATTTCTAATTTTTTCAAAATGAAAATGATGAAAATGGTAGTAGATCAAATAGTTGGAGCTTCACAATCAGCATTTATAGCAGGAAGGAGCATCCTAGATAATGTTATTGTGGCACATGAGCTTGTCAAAGGATATACACAAAAAGGAATCTCTCCTAGATGTATTATCAAAATGGATATAAAGAAGGCTTATGACTCAGTGTAATGGGACTTCCTTAAAGCTGTTCTGCTAGAGTTTGGATTTCTTGGAAAATTTGTTGGGTGGATCATGGAGTGTGTGACTACTCTGAGCTATTCCATTCTAAATTTCTAATAAATGATGGAATCACTCCAAAGTTTATAGCAAAGAAGGGACTGAGACAGGGTGACCCCATGTCCCCATATCTATTTGTCTTAGTCATGGAATACCTCAACAGATCATTAAAGCGGCTGCAGCATAACCCGGACTTCAATTATCACCCCAGATGTAGTAGAATGAAGTTGGTGCATATATGCTTTGCTGATGACTTGCTTCTGTGCTGCAGGGCTGATAGAATTTTCATACAGCTAATGATTCAAGCTTTCAACCATTTCTCTAGTGTGTCTGGCTTAAAGGCAAATATGAAAAAAAGTTCACTATACATCTCTGGTGTCTCACAAGTATTAAAAGCTCAGATCCTGAATGAAATACAGTTTGCATTAGGTCAGCTGGCATTCAAATATTTGGGTATACCCCTTTCATCCAAGAAGATCACCATCCAATAATGCATGCCAATTATGGAGAAAATGATATCCAGGATCAGGTGTTGGACTACAAAATTTTATCTTATAGTGAGAGAGTACAACTGATCAAGAGTGTTCTCTTTGAAATGCAAACATATTGGGCTCAGATCTTTGTGTTACGAAAGAAAATTATACAACTAATTGCAGCATTTGCAGAACCTTTCTATGGACTGGGAGTTGTGAAGCCTCAAGGAAAGCATTGATCTCATGGGAATCACTATGTATGCCAAGGGTTGCAGGAGGTCTAAAACTAATAGACTTCAATCTCTGGAATAAAGCAGTCATCTGCAAGTTATTGTGGGCTGTTACCTCAAGAAAAGAGTCGATGTGGGTGCAAGGAATACATGGTTACTATATAAAGAACAAGGATCTAGTTACTATAAACACCTTCACAAGCATGCTGGCTAGTGAGAAAAATCTTTGATGCAAGAAGCTTGTTTGCAGATATGGACTCACGGTGGAATTGCAAAAATGCAGTAATGACGGTGGCTTTAGCATTAAGAAAGCTTACTTATCCTTCCAGCCACAACATCCGAAGGTACCATGGAAACACCTCACTATGGGGGTAAGAAAGCTACCTAGACATTAATTCATTTTATGGCTAGCCATTAGACAACAACTAGCCACTGTTGACAGATTAGAGAATGAGGGATAAATGTTCCCAAAGATTGTATGCTATGTTCAATTGGAGTTGCAGAAACATAAACACATTTGTTCTTTGAATGTAACTATGCAAGACACATCTGGACCTCCTTGCTAAGGTGGATGGGTGAAAGAAGACAACCTAAGGCATGGACTGAGGAAGTAAATTGGATGTCTAAGAGAATTCGAGGTAGCAGAGCTAAAGCAGAAATACTGGCATGACTATTTGCTGCAGCTGTTTATCACATATGGAGTGAACGAAATGCTAGAAGATCTCAGAATGTAAGTCATGAAAGTCACCATAGACTTAAAGAAATTGTTCTTTAATTACACATCAAAGGGCAGAATTACAAGAAATGGAGGAAAATATTAGAAGGGTTAAACAGTTATCCTAGCTAAGAGTAGATAGTTTGTTTGTAAATACAAATAGTGAATACTCTTAGATAGGTAGGAATAGAAATGGCTAGTTCTAGATTCCAAACAGAACTAGCAGATGAACATATATACCATTGGTTGAATAATTTTTTTTTTATTTTGACAAAAAAAATATGAAAATGATGAAAATCAGAAAATATATTGAATTTTTTTAGTATTATTATATCTTGATTTTGAAGGTAAAATATGATAATCATTTCGAGACAGAGAAATTAATGTACTTAATAGCTAGACATTGTGGAAATAACAGAATATCATAAGAGGGTTTCAAGGCAAATATTACATACTATGGGAACATTTTAAATACCATAAAACTTTTGTGATAATAAGAAAGTTTAACTTACAATATTGTATATATTTTAAAATCTTAAACTACTTAAAAATTTGTGAACTAGACCAAATTCCACTTCAAGTAATTTGAGACGAAGAGAATGATAGTTATATATATATATATATATATATATATATATATATATATATATATATATATATATATATATATATATATATATATATATATATATATATATATATATATATATATATATAATATATATATAGTAATTTGTTATTTTTATCTGTAACGTCAGAGTGTTTCTTTGACAAATATATTTTCCAATTTCTACAGATTCTGGTATCTTTAAAAGGAAGTGGTACAGTAATTCAGTGTACGCATATTAGCATATTTTGTTTCAATTTGGGCAATAATGGAAAATTTTATAACCTATGGATGGTAATCTTTTAACTAGCTTTCTCCTGACTTCGAAGAATATACTTATTTCCCTGTCTCATATATCCAAGATATTGAGAGGACTAATTTTATTTAATAAGCTGAATATAGATTACGAATGTAAATGTTTCTCTATATATATATAAAAAATAAAAAAAAATAAGACCTAAGCCTTAAGTCCTAAGTTCTTGCCCCTGGGTCAAATTGGGGGTAGCAAACGGGCCGCTCATGTCAGATATTGGTCGATCGAAAATTAATAATGCAAAATGGATAAAATATCTGACCCGGCCTTGTTTAATCTATATTTATATCTATACTATATTAAAAACACGAATGCCCTTAACGAAATGTCGTTCGCCTTTTTTACCCTTTAAAAATAAATTTTATATCTATATCTATATTATATTAAAAGCACGAAGGCCCTTAGCGAAATGTCGTTCGCCTTTTTTACCCTTGATAAATTAATTTCACACTAGACAAAATAGTCTTTTAATTATGTTCCTAATATTTAGGAATACGGATATTTATTATTTCCCTAACATTTAGGATTTCAAAATCAACTAAATTTTTTAAATTAAATTTTTCTTATTTGAACTATAATAAATTTGTAACAAAAATAACAAAGAAAATCACATTAATTTGTGACAAAGGAAATTCCCATTATTATATCAGTTTATGGAAACTTTATGGTACACGTTAGGAATGTAGTGATGATTGCTTCTTTTAAAGTTTTCTCTAAACATGTAACCTTAAAATTAATCAAAAGAGGACTCTATCTCCTTATAATTATATGGTAACTTTACTAAATACGTTAGGAATATGCAGTGAGAAATTGCTTCTTCTCTTATGAAACAATAAAAGAAGAAACAATAGTATTGCAGAGAAAAGTAGGGAGAGAGAATTCTTATTGATTTGGGATGAATTACAATGGAATAGAAACCCTCTATTTATAGGGAAATGGTGACTTAGCCACCAAGTAATAAACCCTAGAATCTCCCTAAATATAGACATTCACCATAAATAAAATTTTATTTATAACACTCCCCCTTGAATGTCTATTCAACAGATAATGTGCCTCGTTAAAACCTTAACTAAAATAAAACCCAGTGGGAAAAACATTCTAGAGAAGGAAAAAGAGTACACATATCTAATAATACGCCTTTTGGTTGCCTCGTTAAAAACCTTGCAAGGAAAACCCAGTGGGACAAAACCTTGTACGGAAAAAAGAGTACAACGCGTATTAACTCCCCCTGATGAGAGCATCAATTCACATCCTTGAGCATTTGCATTCCAATCTTGTGCACCATCTTCAAAAGATCTTTGGTAGAGATTTGATGAACAAATCAGGCATATTATCTTGAATGAATATATTGCACCTTGAAATCATCATTCTTGATAGAGATGAATTGTCTTCATATGATCTTGTTGGAATCGTCAGTTCAATATCTTCACATAGAGGTGAAAACTCTTGCTATCATATTATCTGCCTATAGTTATACCAAGATACATTTGTGCACAAATTGCACTGAGGAAGTAGTACTTCAAGATCAAGAATTCTATATGCTTTAAGCAATTTAAATCCTTCAGGGGTTGTTAAGTCATATAAGCCATATAATAGACTTTAGATGCATATCAAGTTTTCATGTCATGCTAGACATATAAGATATCGAAAACTGATTGCACGTGTCATCGACTTTATACTTTCAAGTGTTTGAACTACATGTTCAAAACTACATGTCTTTCATATGAAACCAATTCTATTTGAATTGTTTCTCCAGACTTAAGATCCTCATATATATTTAGCGCTATTATAGATGTCGTCGACAAACATTTTATATCAGTTTCAATATTTTTTCATAAAGACATAACATAGAGATCTCTTCATTCATATTTTCAGGTACCTGAATCTCTCATGAGATTTTATGAAGTGTTATGTCATGTGATCTTCTAGATCACTTGCCTCCTTTATTATGATCATTTAGATCATTTGCTCATCTTCTTTATCAAGAAGTTTATTTGAAACCGACTTGTCTATACGCTTCAAGCGTACCATAGACTTTGTCCTTCTAGGACTTAATAGGAGCATTTGCAATGAGAATATAATTACTTTCTTTGGGTCAGCAAATGCGTCTGGCATGCTTTGCAATATATTGCAACTGAATTATCCTTTTATGAACTTCAAGTTCATATTATCTTATTCGAGGATCTAGATGTACAAGTGATAATTCATTCCACGTAACCTTTTCTCAGCTGTTTATCATGTCTCCCCCTCATGTTAGAAAAACTAACTTATTTTCTCAACTTGGAGAACCCATCTTTGTGCGTTATGGTGTTAATCAAAATATACACCGCACATCAATAATAATAAGATGAAATTATTTGGTTCCTGACCATGAACCACTTGTGAGGGGAGAAATTAATATACTTTCGTATATAACGTATATCAAACTGATATATAAAACTTTGTTCTCATAAGCAATTGTTTAGCTATTAAGTGGAGGCACTCAATAAATCATTTTGCTAAACCAGCTGTGATGTAGACCAACTTATTACGATGAACTATCTTGAATAAAAAATCTGGAAATTATGCTCTAAATCAAATTATTGAGCAAGTTACCTCGCAAACACCATGTTGCGGGTTAATAATAATCGCACATGTAACCATCTCATAGATGCATCTTATGTGGTATACATGGCAGGTGAATGGGCCCATATTCACCTTTGATATTTCCAGCATTTATGGGATTCAATCCCAATTTTAATTGGTATATTAATTAATGAGAGCAAGCAATGTAAGAGAATTCGTAAAGAACTTTCTAGTTCTTTAATATTTACCCATGTGAATTCTCTTTTATTTTTGCACATCATACTTAAATTAACATGGCTAAACCAATTATGCCAACTGGATAAATTATCAATATTGATAAACTTCAGGTTTACACCATGATGTGTGCAATTATGAATAAACTCCAAGTTTATTATGATATGGGTTTTTATATCAATAAATATCCACTTCATTGTGGTATTCTTTTGTTTATGTAGTATAAATTGGAGAATAAAGCGGGTAGCTTTTCACATACATATTACCCCGCTACAAGTTGTAGTTATAGAAGATATTAAATCTTTCCTTTATTTATAGTCTCAATATAATCAACCGCTTTCGCGTATACTTTGG